TCTTGCCTTCACTTTACAATGTATTCCATTTATATAATAATTATTAAGGGGAATACGAAGATACACATTTGACATGCAATACTAGTGCTATTATACATTTACTAAGGGGTCTTTAGGGTTGTGTTTTGGTCCCCAAAGAGGTTCAAAAACATGTGGGGACCACTGCTAAGCCATATAACCCAGTATGACGCTAATTTGCTTTAACAGTAGTCACCTATTTTCAATCCATATTTTACGTTTATATCATTTCTTTTACTGAAGGCAACCATTTTTCTGAAAGTCGGTGAATGTACCTATCGATCTATATGGAGATTTTTCTCATTTGTTAAGATCCGGAACAATCCAAAAAAGCTATCAGTTCAACCGTAGATATCTCTGACATTATCACATCGAACATTGTCCGGTCACCCAAATACGGAAAAAAAAATCGAGCGTCCGAATAATGTTGGATACGTTAATGACTCTCCTCAAGTTATAGACAATACTTTATGACATTGTATACTGCCGTGTCAAAAGTCAGAGGTTGTTAGTAGATAAAGGTAATGAGAGTTGGTACCACCGTACTCTGACACCATAGAAATGCCGAGACCCATATCAGTTATTATCTGACAACTTATGAACAGGTGTGAACACTGTCTATGCTGCGCAAAGTGAATTATCGGGATTCGAACTGGACAGAATAGTGGGTGCCAGACAGGATCTCTGGTATCACAAACTATGGATCGAAGAAGACCAAGATCCGCTGACACATTCTACAGGTTGTCGGTCGTTTCAGTCTTGGTTACGGATGAGGTAGTATTTGGAAGAGATGGAATAATAAATTTACACAACCAACATTCGTGGGTGGATTGGGATCTCCATGGTACAATACAGGCTAGACATCAGCATCAATTTACGATTAATGTGTGGGCTGGAATTTCAGCTGGCTCTCTTGTAGGTCCATACCTTCTTCCAGTACATCTTACAGGAGCTGTCTACAGGGACTTATTTCGAACACACTTCCAGATCTGCTAGTGGAGGCACCCCTGCTAATAGGATTAAATAGCAATGTTAATGGGATTAATGGCCATTAATATATATATATATATGTGTGTGTGTGTGAGTGTGTATACAAATATATGTATATATATATATAAACAAATGACGTCACTTGTTTACATTTGGATCGCATCAAGCAGATATGAATGTACGAGAGAAAATCATGGGGAATTGTAGTTTTAAAACAGTAAAATACACCTTGGTAACCGAGACGGTCCTCTGTAGCTAAAACGGTAAAGCACGTCAGGCTATATGACGGTTCCGTATAGGATTTTGGTTTGATTCCTGTCGGAGGATGCATATTTTCTATGATTTTTCTATTCAGGCCGGTAAATGTTGTTAATACTGTTTATTATAAACGGAGCTTGAATATTTACTTGAATATTTGTATCTAAGAATGTATAAACATAAAAATGTCTTAAAATATATATTTTTGTATACAAATATGTAGATCTATGACTATATATATTTATATATACAATTATATATATATATATATATATATATATATTTATGTATACAAAAATGTGTATATATAGATTGTTTTATTTCCGTTATAAGTTTTATTCTACCTTTGATAATAGCAATATATATTTGAAATGGGCTGGCCAAACTGTTTTTTTACCAACTCACCGACAAGGCAGGATTTGGTACATTTTTATGTGTGGCGAATCCGAGCCCGTAGTCTCGGGCAAAAATTCCTCGTAGACCCCGCGAACACGCGATCGGTGTGTGTTTTTTTTTTTTTTTTACCTACTCAGACGAGAGGGTGCCCTTCAGCATCGCCTCATCTGGATTCCTCTCTACCCGAAGGCAGAGAGTTCGACAAGTCTGTCGCGAGCCTGGCAGTGAACTTCCTCTCTCCAATACGACTACACGACTATGTTTTCATATTTTTTTATAGTGGTGGTAGGTGATTTTTGTCATCCTGATTTCAGTCATTAGTTTTTTAAGGGTGATTTTTGTCGTTTCTCTGCTCAGGCAGTAACTTGGGCTAAGTGTGCCTGATCAAAGAAATCAAACTGTACCATATTATCTATTAAAATCTCGATGTCGTGCATATATTACAGTAAAAATTTAATTTTTCACGATATTAAAGAATAGAAATGAACCGGATGTTTAGCCATTGCGTCTTTATTCAAATTTCCGTTTCAAAACTTATTTTTGAATTTCCAGGGGAAAGGCGCTTTGTTGTAATATTAATGTTATCAAAACACTTCAGATCTTGTGTATTCCTTTTATTAATTTTTTTTTAATCAATGTCAGTGAATTTCCTGTATCTGAGACAAAAGAAGTTCGATTATGCTAATTCTCAAAGAACAGATCTTGCCGACATATCAAATATCTTTTGTAAACAGTTGTTATCAACACCTGCCGATGTTGTGTTTTATAATCTATTGTGCTGAGTCTATTTGCAATCTCGCTCTTTCAAAAGATATTTTTTCTTAAGCGGATTAAATCTTTCTGAAAACATGTACTTATGTATAATACGACCTCCTCATTTTCGCCTTTAATTTTTGTTCAAATGTTTTAGTATTATGCGCAAGAAAATATGGTAATTCAAGCCGCAAATATACAAAGTGTCCCCCTAAAATTGGCATAATTTAATATTTGAATATCTGAGTAACTACATATCCCAGGCAAATGAAAATAAATAGGCTTCATGTTGACCAATAAAAGATTTATTTATCAAAATTCGAACAAGAGATTCACAAGGATGTAGATTTTATAAGCGATTTCACAAAGCTTCACAAATGTTCAATATGCGTACCACCTGTGACACGACACACGTCAAGTCGTTTGTCCAGCTCCTGCCAAACACGCTGTAGCATGTTTTGCGTAACATTCTCCAGCGCCGTAGTGATTCTTCGCTTAAGTTCTTCTCGGCTTGTAGGAAGAGGGGGGGATATAGACCTGTCCTTTCACATAGCCCCACAACTCACAAGGTGTCACGTCAGGTAAACGTGGTGGTCATTTCAACAGCACATTGTCATTATCGCTGATAGGCCTGATCCAGCTTCCTAGCAGATTCTCATTGAGTCAACTTAGGTTTTTACACATTTCGTTAAAATTTGAGATCATTTGAACGAGAATTGGCTATGTCATTAGGCTACAAAATAATGTCAATTGTTTTTGAGAAACCCTTGTACTGCAACTGTCTTTTACAAAACTTCTTTCTTTTTCATGCAGAGCTGCATCATTGTTGGCCCTGTGGTAAATTGGTCACATCACATTAACAACTCAATTTATAGACATTTCGTTAAAATTTGAGATCATTTGAGCGAGAATTGGCTATGTCATTAGACTACAAAATAATGTCAATTGTTTTTAAAGCGAATCAAACGAACATACAAATAACATGCGTATCTATGATTTATAAATCATAGATGCATATGTTATTTGAACGTTCGTTTGCTTATAAGACAATTTGTGAGCAAAATGCACAAATATATGAGAAATGAATTTAATATTTAATACATCTTCTATTATAAACTTTGGAAAGGTTGTTTTTTTATTTTTTTAAGCGACATTTCTTATCAATATAAACGTTATATTTAGTGAATACACGTGTTTGAGAAGAACATTTTGATAAAGCAAAGTTCTTTTACTTATTTAAGGAAACGCATGTCTACTGTTGGAACTTCCACAAGTCTATATATGCTAAGTTCATTTCTGTACCTTGTCAAAATGGTCGCCTGGGGCCAGACTGGCAATGACATTCTTTAGAGGGGTTTTCTCTGAGGTAAAAAAAAGGATATAGATTTGGTTGGGAAGCAACGTTTTTCATGAATGGGACTTTATTTTCAGCCAATGGCAATTTCCTATTTCACCCAAACAGCTAGACAACAATGCTTTAACAATGTAGCTATGAAAGTGTTAAAAAAAAAAACTTATTGTATGACGAGCACTCATCTGAAATTATTTACTTATCGGACAATCGATATGAATGCGAATTTTGATTAACCTATATGTGTAGATAAGAATTTCTGTTTTGCATTTGATGTGTAAAGGTTTTTCTCGCTGATTTGTTAATCTAGTGAAGGGTTCTAAGGTTTTATAGTTTATTAGATATTAAATACATCAGAGATATTTGACTACGTAAAAGTAGCCAATTCTCAATAACACAAATTAACGTCTTTTAAGAAAAATATAATTTCTGAAAATTAATTTAAGTTTCCTGAAGAGGGGATATAATTTCTATAAAGCTCAGAATAAAGGCAAAATAATTGAACGTTTAATATTATCTATTACTAGCTTAAAATCCGCACACCGCGTGGACTTTAAAGTTCGCTCCTGCAATCCTAAAGTGCGCTCCATCCTAAAGCTAAAGGCATCTCTGTTTCATCTTAGAAAACAAAAATGATAACTTTGAAGAAATAAATTTGAATTCCTCAGTTTACTCCATGGAGCTACAGAACCTCACTTTGATATTATAAGTCCGATTTGGACCATATGACCAGTTTGGTCCGAAGCTCTGATTAGGGCCAAAATTTCAATTCGGGTCAAAAACTGAGGCCTTCAAATCATAAACTCCATGGAACTTCAGGTGTGTGGAGTTCTACGAATCACAAACTCCATGGAACTTCAGGTGTGTTGAGTTCTTCAAATCACAAACTCCATGGAACTTCAGGTGTGTTGAGTTCTACAAATCACAAACTCCATGGAACTTCAGGTGTGTTGAGTTCTTCAAATCACAAACTCCATGGAACTTCAGGCGTGTGGAGTTCTTCAAATCACAAACTCCATGGAACTTCAAGCGTGTGGAGTTCTTCAAATCACAAACTCCATGGAACTTCAAGCGTGTGGAGTTCTTCAAATCACAAACTCCATGGAACTTTAAAAGGCTATTATGCAGATTAAAAGTGTTATCATTGATAATATTCATTATATTAATTTCATCAAGTTTAATATAAGTACTTTGTTTCACTAAAATTATATGCAATAAATTCAAATTATCTATTTTTAAAATATATTTGTTTCATTAATATTTTTCTTGCAATAATTTCCGGTTGCATTGGTATAAATACAATCAGAATTTTTATATCCTAATTATTCCACTAAGACATTTGCAAGACGCACGTTGTACAGATCAAATAAAGGAAAATTTTTGACTGAATTTTCATGGCAACTGTTTTGCTCAATTGTAATAATTGATTGATTTTTATTTTGTTTTCTTACCTTTGGATATAATAAAGTTTCTTATAGGCTCCTGTTCTTTTTTTCCTATTTATATTTCGTTTCATTGTAATCATGGCTTGTTTAACCAAAATAATACCTCATGAATATAGCCTAGGCTGTACCATTTACTAATAATTTTACTAATTTTACTAATTACTAATTTTTTTCTTGATTTGCCCTACTTAAATTGGGGTGCGTCTTATATGTCGTCAAATACGGTAGTTATCTTATAACTAGTTATGCCGATTTGCTAATATATATATATATATATATATATATATATATATATATATATATATATATATATATATAATGTAGTTATACACGTCTGGAAAAACCTTAGGTGCTTTGGTTTTGTAAATGAACAAAACAATGCCCAAGAAAAAATAAGGGATAAAAAAAGAAAGAACTAAGAACATGAAATTCAGGCGAAAAAAATCGTCCAGAATTCAAGCTCAGAGTCCAAAGAAAAAAAAAACACCAAAACCATTAAACCAAAAGTAACCAAGTAAAGTGCTCAATACACTAAGTGGAGCAAATCTATGAACCTAAAGAGCCAGGTAAATCTACCTATGTTACCCCTACGCGGATCGTCAGGGTGCACTGGCTCTTTAGGTTCATAGTTATATATATATATATAACTTAAACAGTCCCAAACGTCGATATTTTATACATCGGCAGTGTATAAAATCCATTAAGGCACAACACGTATTTTAAACGACCATTTTGCAGGAAATAATTCGTTAGTATAATTTATCTCCTTTAAAATTGATATATTAAACTTAAAGGATGCACAACAATACACTGGATATACGAGAGAAAATAATTGCAATTCATTTAAATAATGGGTGTTAATATAATCCATGTAAGCTGCGCCCAAATGTCTCATGGTGTGTATTCAGTGAGTATTGAATTTTGAGCTAATCTCTTTTTAAAATGCTCGCCCTCTCAAAGCTGAGGAGTTCGTTTTGCTCTATTATTTGTTAATTGCCAGAAAAGAGAATTCAGTGTTAAGTTAATCTATTTTAATTATAGATTAATTTACTTATAGTTATTGATGTAATCTGTGATGCTATCTAGCAAGTGTATGATAAAACAAGCAGTACAGTACTGTTCCAGGGCCATATTGGAAAAAAAATATTCCACGTTTCAGTCGGTGTGCGCCAAGGCTGTCTTCTGTCTCGTACGTTCTCTATCACCTTCCTTGACGCATTATGAGTGTATCCTTGAGCAGCACCAGGACACAGTTAGCATTGGAGGTCGCAACACCACAAACCTTCGCTTTGCAGGCAATGAAAAGGAATTCGTCAGTCTGGCGAAGAGCGAGGATGAAGCATCTTCCAGATATGGCATGGAGGTTAATGTCGAAAAATCAAATTCATGACAAACACTAGGAAGGATCCTCCAAGTAAAATAAAAGTCAGTAGTCAGGAACTTAAAGTTGTGAACAATTCAAATATTTCGGCTCAGTGATCAGTGAAGAAGGCGCCATGATAGAAATAATTTCCAGATTATCGAAAAGAATGTCAACTGTCGTAAAACTAAAAAGCATCTGGAAATCTTTAAACCAAAGATCAGACTGGTGCGGGCATTGGACTTTTCAATCTTTCTGTATATCTGCGAATCTTGGATATTGGCAGTAGAATTACAGCGAAGAATCCAAGCATTAGAAATGAGATGCTATAGAACCATCGTAGGTATCTGCTGCGTAGACCGCATCCGAAATGACGCTGTGCACAACGCGATCAGACAAAGAGCGGGCCGGTTGGAAGACTACCATCTCGAAAGCTGAAATTGTATGGATACATCATTAGAACCGGTAATTTTTCTACTACTATACTGCATCCTTAGACAAAAATAGAGGCTGATAGAGGAAAAAAATGGAGGCGACAACGTCACTGTGATAACGAGATCATTTTTTAGAGACACGCAACCAAGACATGTAAAGGGAGTTGATAAGGTGCTCAGCGACACTACAATCACCTCTGATTATGGGACTGATGATAGTAAGCATGATGATGATGATGATGTTGTTGATGATGATGATGACGTGACACGCAACCGAGACATGTAAAGGGAGCTGGTATTGTGGTCACCGACACTAAAACCACATCTGGTTATGGGACTGATGATGGTAATGATGATGATGATGATGGGACATGCAACCGAGACATGTAAAGGGAACTGGTCAGGTACTCAGCGACACTACAACCACATCTGATCATGGGACTGATGATGGTAAGAATGATGATGATGATAGACTGAAGGATTTATGAAACAAAT